ACCAATCAGAAGCCTTGGGGTTGAGGTGCAGACATGAGAGTCACAAATTGCCATAGGAGTATCCATGTGTACCCAACGTGAAGAATCGTGGACCTGGGTAGTATGGCCTCAGACCACTCCTACCCCAGTAAGTTTCTGTCCAACCTTCCCTAGACAGCATAGCCATAATAACAAGAAGAGAGACAGTTCAGTGAGTAAAGTGCTTGACACATAAGCATGAAGACTGAAGTTTGAATCCCCAGAACCCATGTGAAAGTCAAGTGGGCATAGACCCTGCCTGTAATCCCAGCATACAAGAGATAGAAATAGCCTCAAATCAGGGGTTTCTGAGTTCAAATGACACCTCAGTATATAAGGTGGAAAACAAAAATCAAGGGCAACTAATATCAACCTAGGACACACACATGCTCATACATGTACACACACACAAACACATACATGCACATATACATACTCCTATACAAATGCAAACATATACACACATACATGCTACACACACAATACAATAAAAGCAATTCTCTAGCATTTACTAAGCAAACCCCAACACATGCCTAGCAGTCTGTCCATTTGCACATGTAATCCTATATTGACAATAACTTCATCCAAAGTGCCTTATGGTAGGAACCCAGAGACTATTTGAGAACGCAGGCTCCTACGTCTTCTCCAGAAGAGCAGGCATCGGGCTCATAGACAGGGCAGGAGATTGGCATGTTTATCAAAAGAGAAGTTTAACTATTTTGTTCCTTCTTTTTTTAAGTTTAATGATCATTTTTTAAACACTCTTAATAAAGAGAATGATCAGCTTGGGCAGTAGTGACACAAGCCGTTATGAGTTCGAGGCCAGACTGATCTACAGAGAGATCTAGACAGCCAGGGCTACACAGAGAGAGCCTCTCTTGAAAAACCAAAAATAGATGAATGGATAGATAGATAGATAGATAGATAGATATACAGACAGACAGACAAATCTATTGTAGGTAATGAATATCAAAATAAGCCTTTCCGTGTGTTGCAGGAAGCCAGGATTCCCCTTATCTAAGGTGAAACAATCAGACGTGGGCAGGAAGAAAGGTTTCCAGAACCCCAAACAAAGGGCACACACATGAAGACCCAGGCTACATGGCCCCTTGAGTCCCCCTTTTTGCTTTCAAATGTGGTACTGCTAGCAGATGGGAGGCTGGATTCCCAAGCCTTGTGCTGTGAAGTAAAGATATTAGTCTCCAGAGGGTTTGCGGATGGGTTTCCTAGGCTTTCAAAGGGGAAGTGGGGGTGAGACACGCCGCCTTTGATGTCTGAGCTCAGTCTTGAAATCAGAACCGCAAAATCTGTTTTTATCTCCTCCATTCTAGGCGACCAAGTTGAAAATTCCTGTACTTCCCTTTTCTGCTGTTTTTCCGTATTGTCAATTGCCTCCCTGCTGAGAGAATGGAATTCCTCTAAGTGGGAAGCAGGGCTCCACCCTGAGATGCTGCCTGAGATCTCTCTGAGATTAGGTTACACCAGCATCACACACTAGAAAACACACACCTCTTCCCTTATTAACTTAGCAGTAGAAGCCAGTGATGGTTGGTATCCATACACAGTTGACAAATTTGAGGGTAAATCACCCTCACCAGAGGATCAACAGGACAGTTCACCCCAGAGGCTGCTTCCAGAAAGCCATGCTTGAAAGGGATTAAGTTTAAGATCCGCCTAATGGCAGAGGTGATTCATTGAAGTGATCGCTTACTGAAGTTACCATTTCGTGGGCCTGAGAGTAAACAGCTTAAAAACCCACCTGGACTGTGAGCCCACAGAGGTAGGCCATAAGCTTCTTCTCAAGATTACTGGCAGAAATGTTGTCGAACATACCCACTTGGGTTCCCTTTGCCCACAAAGCCCAGCTCTTCCAAGGGCTTAAACCCTGCTCCATGCAGGGCTCATCTCAAAAGTCAGGTGGTAAAAGTTCCCTCATTCACCTTGCCTATTTCCTATCGCCCCTTCTTGCAGGTCACCTCTCAGAAGGAGTGGAGCACGCATCCTTTGCTCTTGTATTTTAAGGGTGATGAGGCTTTAGCACACTCTAATATAACCATTAGTGCCAAACAAGATGCTTCTCCTCTTGAGGGACCCACAGTTCACTAAACAGGACTAGGACAGTATTGTTCGATCATGCCGAAGCCAGTGGTGTTGGTAGTATGTGTGTTTGTCTGTGTGCAGGTACACATTGGCATAGATACATGCACACAGACACATGCACATGCAGATGTGTGCATAGGGTGATTCTAAAGGTCCTTATTGAAGAAGAAACTATAAAGCGTTTTTCTTCTAGCGCCAATTCACTTGGCTAATGCCCAAATGACCACTTAGGTGATCCACTAAGCAAATGAACTCATGTCTACACAGTCTCCTGGTTTGCCCGTCATCCTTCAGTTTCTAGAGAAGATACCTCTCGGTCTGTGTGTGGAAGAAGACTGGCCAGTCAAAGTGGCCACAGAGCCAGCAGGGCAAGGCATGAGGTCAGAAAACAGGGTAAAGGCACTGATGAAGGAAGAAAATTCAGTCAAGGGGTCCAATATTGGGGCCACTAGCCAGCTGTGTGACCGGCTAGATTGTGTCCCCACTCAATCCTCAGGTTGACATCCTAAGGTGCTCTGAACATCAAGACTGGCTCTATCCAAATGTCCTCCCAGAGAAAATAAAGCTTAAGTGAGGTCATTAGCATGGGCCCTAATCCAGCCTGGTCACAAAGATGGCACTTGCACAGGATATAGGGAAGACTCTGGCGATGAGGTGAGAAGGTGGCCTTCTCCCCATGCCCAGGGGAGAAGCTGGAGACAGCCCTCAGAAGGAGCCTCACTGCCATCAGCTCGAGCTTCAACTCCCAGTCTCAAGAGCTAAAGGAAACGGTTTTCCTTTTCAAAGCCACCAGCCTGAGGGGCTGTATTATGATAACAAACAACTGCACCCAGCAAGTCATTATTACCCTTCCAGGGTCTCAGTGTCCACATCTACAAAATGGGAATGCATGACCTGCCCACCTCACAGAGTGGCAGTGGGGATCCAAGGAGAAGTCGTTGGTGATCCCCAAGCTTGCTGAGCCTGCGGACTGTCAGGCCCTACCTCTAGTCTGCTCCATTCTGTGGTCCCAGATGAGAACCTGACACCCATCCCTACTCCTCTCTAATGATGCTGAGGCTGCTGACCCAGTCACAACACTTCAAAGGCCACTGCAAGAGGTGTGTGTGACTGAATGAGTGAAATTTTCCCTTTTAAAACAAAAACAAATCTTCAGACAATGGAGATGGCTCAGCAGTTAGGTGCAGTGTTCTCAGAAGACTCAGGCCTGACCCCAGCACCCATGTCAGTGGCTCACAGTCACCTTCAACTCCAGCTCCAGGGGATCTAACACTCTTCCCTGGCCTCCATGGGCACTGCTTTCCCAGACATGTAACTTACAAATAAGAGTCATTTAATTAAAAATTAATAAAAAATGTTAAACCCCATCTCGAAGGATATCCAAAAGAAAAAGCAGAAAAAGTATTGCCAGTGTTGACTTTCAGATGAAAAATAGCAAAGAGAAAAGAATAATGTGTTATATTTTTAAAAAGATGATGATGATAATAATCTAAACAATTTAGGGCCGACATCTTATTTCCTTTACCTGATACATTTCTATAGATCGGAAATGAAAAGAACGTTCATTTTCCTGACTTAACCATATATTTAAAAATATTCTGGGGAGGTCAGGGTGTTGGCACACACCGTTAATCTCAGCCCTCAGGAGGCAGAGACAGGAGGATTTCTGTGAGTTCCAAACAAGTGAGACCCTGTCTCAACCCCCCAAAAAACTGACAATAATATATTTATATTAATATATCAACATATTTTAAATGTACTTATATTTTATTCACATATACTTATATATATTAGGGAAACATTTGGACACAATAAGTTTAAAAGCAGTGCTTTTTCATAAGAAAATAATCAGAAACGGATATATAAATGGAGATCAATAAAGCCTTGTTTATAACAATCAATCAGAAATCTGAAGTAACAGTAATGTTTGGCAAAAAAAAAGAAAGTTAGACCCAATAAATTATAAATGAAATACTATAAAGCCTTGTAAAAGGTCTTTATGGGAAGTCTTTATTGACACAGATATACATGGTATAAAATGAGAAAAGCTGGCAAAAGAGCCCAAGCAGTATAATTTAACCCTGAATAAAAACCAGAGAGAGAGAGAGAGAGAGAGAGAGAGAGAGAGAGAGAGAGAGAGAGAGAGAGAGAGAAATTAGTTTTCTTTTAAAAAAAAAAGTTTAAGAATTGCTCGTCACACTGTGAGCGATATGTGGGTTTCAATCTCTGCCGTAATAGACAGTCATGGCTTATGTAATGTTTTTAGAGACTATGAAGAAGAATTACTGCTGTGGGGGGCTTAGACATTCTCCCTCTTCCTGTAAAGGTCCAAAGCAAAAATGAAGCGTCAGGACTTTTACAAGCCTTTCCCTGTCCCATGCTGTATAAACACCAGCTACAAGCTGGACTCCATTGGGAAAGCCCAGTGGCCTTCGTTCTTAGTGCCTTCTCCACCCATCTGTGTTTCCTTTCAATTCAAAGACAATCACCTGGAAGACCTGTTCATCATCACAGCATGGCCACCAGGTTTTCTGGCGGATGCTGGCAATGTGCCCACAGTTACCGGTCACCCAGCAAGCAGCCTTTTTTACATATCTAAGAAACTTATCTTGACTTTCAGTAAGACAGGTTACTTAGCAACAGCCAAAGCCAAGAGGGAAGATGGTGGCAGCCAGAGATGTTTTATGACTCAGATGAGCTGCCCTATGTGTATCTGGTTGCATTCAACGTAACCAGATAGGAGATAACACTTGGCTATTTTTATATCACGAAGCAAAATATTTGGCTCCTGCCCAGAAGGGCAATTACCTCAAAGTCTTGGCAAGGCCCCTGCGGTATGTGAAGCAGTAATAATACAGAAGTAGGGAAAGAGAGGCACTGACCTTCATAAATACTGATGATATGAGGATGGTTGAGGGATGACATGATCTCAATCTCTCGTCTGATGTGAACCATGTCTAGCTCGTCCTTAATTTTGTCCTTACGGATGGATTTTATAGCAACCTATAAAGTCAGGAAATGAAACGTTACTCAGAGAACTAAACAGAAGTGAATCAGCCATTGTTGGTGGAGGTGGAAAATAAATGCAAATGTTGCTTGTTGGCCAAACTGACAACCACCACAACCACTCCAGAACAACCTGTGCAATGCCTTTCATTTATAAACAGCCCAGGGTTTGGGTCTTCATCTTCGTCATTGAGCAATGGCTGTTTAACCAGCCGCGGTTCATTTATTCTAGGACTGCTGATCGATCCTTTGGGGGAAAAGGGGAACAAAATTGAGGTGGCTTGGCAGAGTGATTGTGATTATGGAAGGTGAAATTCTAAGCATTTAGTTTCTTTTGAAGCTGAGGTGATGACTTAAAGAGAAAAAAATCACTGTGTGGCCAATCCCAAAGTCAGTCCAGCCTTCAAACCCTCATCCTGAAGAGTCAACCTAGGCTCTGCTTACACATCTGCTTAAAATGTGTAAATCCTTCCTCCATTCCGTTAGAAAGCGTCTGACACAGTCCTACAGAGACAAACCAGGACAAAGCAAACAGAGGGGCAGCCTCTCTCTGTGACCAATTCCAAAAGCTCTAAGTGCCCTTGAATACAAATTTGTAGAGAACAGCCAGGGCCAGTCCACAGACTCCTCAGATATATTGGAAGAAGACATTAGACAGCAGCAGGAACCTAATGCGGAAACATACTTTCACCAACGGATCTGTCTCTGTTCACAAACAAGTTGGCAAGGGACAAAAACAGGGAGCCTACCAACCTATCAACTGCCACACTGAACGTCTTAGTTCCCCAAACGTGCCCTCCCCTGACCTATTTTTCTCACATGTACATTCCATCGTAGGTGAGAGAGAGGCAGCTAGCCCATCTCTCTAGGTAATAACACATGGTGCTATCTGCAAAAGAACAAGTCCACATGAGAAGCAGTCTACAACTGACTGCTGATATCTACAACTTGACAGGTGATATCACAGGGTGGCTCCCAGGCCACCACAGCAGGAATGGACCCAGATCCCTGAGTATCTTCAACTCCTGCCCTGCCCAGTTCCTGTCAACGATAAATAGAAAAATACCGTAGTAAAAGCATGTCAACCTGAGTTCTCACACACACACATGCAGGCATACATTAAACACACACACACACACCACACATACACACACTCTTGCACATACGTACCACACATCCACACACATCACACACCCACGTTCGCACGAGTGCATGCATGCACAAGCGCGCGCGCACACACACACACACACACACACACACACAAATGAGTAAATAAAAGAAGTTAAATAATGCTGCCCAACAACCATGTGAAGATGATCTCTGATCTCAACGACACCCTGTTCCCATTTGGTGATCAAAAGTGGCTCAGACATAACACACAGGAAGCACAGCTGGGGACCCAATGGAGGTACCACCCTCCTTAGCTCCTTCGTGGACCCTGGGGCTAGTTAAAGAAAATTGCACTGAGAAGAATGAGCCTTCCAGCCCCAGGGCTCCTTGTAACTACAGTGCCAGGCCCAGAGCTCCCAGGCCCCTCAGGACAGCTCCATTCAGTATGCAGCCAGAAGAGCCTCCTCCGCTTACGTCAGATGGAAAACCAGGACTGAGATGCTTTATCTTGGCTGAGTGAGGCCCTATATCCCGGGAGCTGATTTCTGGATGAAAAAGACAGTAAACACACACAGGCCCTGGAGGATGTGGGTGGCTGCTGGACCAACTTCCACATTCCTTCAAAAACTAAAGACGGGCCAAGGTCAGAAGCCACCCCTCTGGGTGAGCAGCAAGCCGAGCTTGGCCTCAAGGAAGCCCAATGATCAAATCACGATAGTAACGCATCCCTTCATCATCCAGGGTCAGAGAGGTAAGGACATTCTAACATGAGAAAATGAGCCCTCTGTCCATTCCCCGCAAGAGTCCAGCAACAGGCCGAGAGCCTCGTGGTGCCCCTGCCAAGGCAATACTTCCAGCTGGACATGAAAGGAAGGTGCCACATTCTCATCAAGTCCCGCTCAGTACTGAAGAAACTCAAAGGGCATCACAATTGTTAAAAACCAGGGTGACTGTCTCTCCAACCAAAACCTCTCTGGGAATGCATTGCACCGTCCATTGAAAATGCCAGGGGCCCATTTCTGTTCCCATTGCAAACGCGCCGGGTGGGAAGTCCAGGGAAACAAAAGCCAGGAACCAGTGAATGGAGTGTAACTGCCAAAGCAGAGGCTGGCCTCCACGGTGGAGACGGCCCTTCCAAGGTCAGCCAGCCAGCTAATGGCAGACCATGAAACAATCACAAGAATCCCAGAGTCAGCACGCATTAAGCATCTAACTGGCAAGCTAGACACTGTGAAGAGCTCCCTGTGCTGTGATACAGCATCCTGCTCCTATCAGCCAGCCTCTGCTGAGTGCCTTCCCTCCAACTGGCACTGCCATGTCACTCCCTCTAGACCCTTCCCACTCCACCCTCTTCAGGACTTTAGATAACAACCGATGTCCTCTTTCTTCTTGTCTTGTATACCAGGCCTATTTGTGTAGGACCCAGACAGCCAAAAAGGACATTTGAAAAAGGTTGCTATGAGCAGAGACCCATAACCACAGACCCTAAATGAGTATCTACCTCTAGAAGCTGAAGGAAAAGCTGGGCCAGTGCACAAATACTATCGGGTAAAGGTTAGAAACGTGGCTCGGTGCCCTGGCTAAAACTGTTCTCTAGCTGTGTGGCCTTGAGCAGGTTGCATAACCTCTCCATGCCCCAGTTTCTTCATCCATTAGTAAGGAACTACCAGAATCTGCTTCGTGGGCCCTGCAAACACTGCATGACAGATGCTTAAGAGGTAAACAGCAGGCACTTTTACTCAGAATTAGCATCCCGTAAGTACAACGTTCCCCTCTTCCTCAAAGCAAACTTGAATTCCTGCTGGTTCCTCAAGACACAGCAAGTGACACGCTTACACATGGAGATCACATTTGTTTGTCCCAAAATACAGGCAGGACTAGGCAGCACCTGGTCTTGTAATGTCACCTAAAACTACTGGTAAGCTCAAAATAGCTGAAGCCATCATTGCTAGTACAGTTGGTATCTGAATCCTTAGATTCAGACAAGGCAGAAAGGTAAACAACTCGAACTCCAAAAGCAACCCCAGGACCAGCCCAACTTCCTTCTTCCAAATCCCCACCAGCTAAACAAGGAAATGTGCTGTACGGGCCGTAACACCAGCCTTCATGACTGTGACTGTTCTGTTTTTCTCCCTTTCTGAGCACCTGTCCCTGGCTAGGCCACATGTGCAGGAGGACACATCCACCATGCCCTCAAGGCAAGAGGTGGTAGGGAAACACAGGCAAAGAGCAACAATATAATGATGTCACTCCTCCTGTGGCCCAGCACACACATGTGTGCAGCATGTGTGACAGAGGAAAGCCTCTCTCTCTAGTTTTTCAACTCTTACATCCCACAGGGCTCACAGAGAGAAGGAGAGAACGAATGATCAGGTATCTTAAGTTACACATCTTCCCCTACCCCAGATCCACTTCTTTCTAGTAAAAGGCTGAGGATGAGCTTGGGGCAAGAGGCTCAGAGGGGTGTGTGTGTGTGTGTGTGTGTGTGTGTGTGTGTGTGTGTGTGAGTGTGTGTGTGAGTGTGTGTGTGTATGTGTGTGTGTGTGTGTGAGTGTGTGTGTGTCACACTGCAGCCACGTTCATAAACGTTCCCCAGTCTAGACAGCACTATGTAACGTGTAAAACAGTCTGCTTTTAAAGAAGGCCATCCTATAGTTTAATGTGGAAACCTTATGTGGTACCAGTAGGCTTGGCCATGGAGTTGTGAATCTGCCCTGTGCTGACAGCTGCCGAAGGCCCACTCGGCCCAGCCAATTCTCATCTCTTGTTAAACATAACAGACTCAGTCTCCTCTTTGGGGTTGGCAGACTTTCCTTCATTGACTAATCACCCGACACCACCTGCTCTGCCGCCTGTGGGGCATCCTCTTCCAAGATGGTTGCTCCATGGATGCTGAGATCCTGGTGACAAGTGGGGCAAGGGCAGGAGAAAGAAAGACAGAGGCCGGTTTGCTCAAGCTTGTTCCTGTAGGGGTATAACTTTGGGCAATCCCAGACTCCACAGCTCTCTCTTTCTTTCCTCACCTGTAAATGGGATTGAAGAGCCTGGACATCTGTTCACTGAATAGTAGTGTTTACAAAGCAGGCCTGGCTGAATGATACCCACGGTCAAGGAGTCATTAGCACAGCAAGTCATAGCACAGGCTGTTCCTCTCATTACACTCCCCCATTTTCCTCCTTCCTTATACAGTGGCAAACATAGGTGAAAAATATAATACATTTCCAGGGAGATCATGGAAAGGATGCCAGTGTAGAGTAGACCTTGAACTAGGGCATGAAACTAACTAAGATAGTGATGGTCCTCTGATTTCCCAGTCTCCTCACAGGAATGAGTATTCATGCACTGCCCTATATTGGCTTACAGAGAATATTCTAAAACATGGCCTCTTAAATCTGACACTCTTGGGTATCTTGTTAAAACATAAGTTCTGGATCTAGAAGTATGGGATAGAACCTGGGATTCTGCATTTATAGTGAGCTTCTCAGCAACACAGTAATGCTATCGAGGGGACCACGGGTTTCGGGAGCCTGCTCTGACTGCTTGTCTGTGGTCCTAACACAGCAACATTTATAATAGCTAACAAATTTTTTTCCTGTATTAATTGAAACTGGAGCCTTGGTCATATTAAGTAAGCACTCTATTTGAGCCATATGGCCCACTCTATCTTATTTGTTCTCTTAGATACAGGGTCTCTCTGGCTTGCCAAGACTGGCCTGGAAATAGGTCTATGCTCAAACTGGTCTTAAACTTATCTGCTAGCCTCAGCCTCCTGGGTGGCTAGGATACAGGTCTATGTCAACAGGCCAAACTCCTGATGCAAACTCCTGATGGTGTGCCTGTGGGAGCATAACAGACATTTAGCACACGTTCACAGAGGACCCACAGAA